CGCCCCCTCCCCCCCCTTTTTTTTTTTTTGGTCGAGTACCTGCTGTCAGACTTTTTTTATAACAAGGTTCAGTTCCCAAACCGCCTGTTTTGTGGAATTCTGGGTCTCTGGTTTGGAGCTGGCTACTTGCCACTACAGTTTATCTGTATATATGGTTGAGTTGTAATATTAATAATAATACCGTTTGAACAGTTCCCCACTGCCTGTTGTGGAGGGCACAGGGGACTCTGTCCTTTCATCGGAGCAAAGGAGGGGGGAAATGTCTGAAGAGAAACATACCATTATGTTACAGGGAGCTGACCCTTCTGTGGAGAACTGCAAGGGTGTTTCTCTCTTGTTCAAAAAGAAAAAAAGAAATAATTAAGTTTTACAATCCAGAAGACTTTCTGGTCCTGCCATGGGAATGCACAAGCTCAGTGTTTTCAGTATCGCTGCTTACAGCTGTGACTAAAGACATTCCAGTAAACCTATTTTTGACTGTACATGTGGAGTTCCTGCACGTCTTCATAGTGTTCTGGAAGGCATTCACAGCTCTCCACTGCCGTGAGTCTGTAGGAAAGGGCTGTTCAGTGTTTTCTTTATGCACGCTTCTGGCTTTTGGTTAGCCCAATGATATAAAAGACACGGCAGGAGGATGGTAACTCTCCTGAAACCAGTCCAGGGTGAACAAGCCCATTTCATATTCAGAGCCCTTCACCTTGATGTGGTGGTTGTGGTCCTGAATGCCAGCCCATTTTGCATCCCTGTGATCTGGTGGGGTGGGGGTTGTTCCCAGACAGATGTGCTGGGGTGCTTGGGGAGGTGTAGGGGCCCCTGCGCTGGACTAAACAGGAGCTGAGCTCCTCCATCTATGGGTGGGACTGCTGTGTTTTGGCTGTCTCCAACCTTGGTCTCAGGTGTCGGTGGCATTTCTGTCTGCCCTTTATTTTTGGGACCCTCGTTCCTTCCAGCCCTGAGCCTGGAACTTTAACTGAGCTGAGATCAGGCTCTCCTGGTTCTCTTTCTGCTGTCTCTTTTCTGATGAGAGAAGCATTGTCCTGCTTAGTGTGTGTCTGAAGTAATGTTGGAGAGGGGAAACGGTGCCCCAGAGAATTCCCAGTGCCATGTCCCAGCTTCCTCTTTTGAACCTGTCCCCAGGACCTTGTACCCAGTTTCCACCTGAGTGGTGGTGCTGCCTCATGCAGAGAAGGGGATTAAAAGTGAGCACAGCAGGCTGGAGGGTCGGATGTGATTACAAGCTCCACCTGCCCAGCTGGAATATAAATAGGGCTTTTCCCCTCTGTGGGCCCTGGTCTCTCCAGGTGGGAACCAGAAAGCCAAGCTGGGTTTTTCCTCCTGAAGTGTAGCCTGGTTTTAAGATCATGCACCCAGTGGAAGGGACAAAAATCATCTGCCTATGCCTTTGGCTACTCTTCACCTGCAAGGGAACAAGAGGGTGGATGAAGAGGGACTGTGTCTGTCTTCAGGGGGGCTGCAGGTCTTGCTGAGTTATCGGGTACTTTTTCCTGCCAGCTGGAAAGTGAGTTAACGGTGCTGCGAGCCTGTGTAATGGCTGTGCTGTGCCTGCTCTGGCCTGCCTGCTAGGGCAGGCTTTACTCCTGCTGCTGGAGAGTCTTGCCAGTGCCTCTGGCTTTCTCTCCCAGCCCCATCCTGCCTTTGGTGCTGCCACCCACAGAAGGACCTTGGTGCTGCAGCAGCGCGTCAGGACTTCATATCCCTGCTGGCACCAGGTCTGAGCAAGAGAAGTTAGTTTTGCAGTTGCTTGCTAGAGGCAAAGCCTGGCTTTAAAGCTGAGCTGAGGGCCTTGGAAAATGGGTGCTGGTAGGATGAAGGCTTCATGGTAACCCTACAGCATTAAAGGTATTAAAGTATTATTTATTATTAAAGTATTAAAGCTTATAGCTGCTGAATTTGTGAGCTGCTGCTACGCCCTCCTGAGCCCTGACCTTGCTGGGTTTGGCAGGTCTCTCTCAGCAGTGTGTCCTTGGGGAGAGTTTCCAGGTAGCGTTGAACTCTCCTCAGTGCAGGCACTGGCATACCACCCTGAGAAGTGCTGTTGTTATCACCATGCCAGCAGTGCACCGCTTCAGACAGTATTATTAAAATTAAAGCTTATAGCTGCTGAATTTGTGAGCTGCTGCTACGCCCTCCTGAGCCCTGACCTTGCTGGGTTTGGCAGGTCTCTCTCAGCAGTGTGTCCTTGGGGAGAGTTTCCAGGTAGCGTTGAACTCTCCTCAGTGCAGGCACTGGCATACCACCCTGAGAAGTGCTGTTGTTATCACCATGCCAGCAGTGCACCGCTTCAGACAGGCGCAAACACTTTTCCAGCTGACCCAGATCCATGGAAAATGAGGTGGCAAGGTTAGCGGCCCTGACCGTGTCTTGTGCCTGCCTCGGACTCATCCTTTAGTACCAAAGGGACTGGATCAGGCCCACCCCAGGCAGCTGAGCACAGGCAGCAGGTTCTTGCCCTGGAAAAGCTGCCTTTCCTCGACAGCGCTGCCAGAGTGCTTTTGCAACATCTCCCAGGAGGTTGGGGTGCAAACAATTGTACTTGAGATGCAGGGTGGGGAAAGCTGCCATGGCCAAAGCCTTCAACGTGCTTCCCTGGGTTGCCAGGATTAGGTGGTGATCAGTTTTGGATTCAAGTCACTGAATGCTGGGGTTGTTGTGAGCAAGGGACCAGCTCTAGCCGTGAGAGGCACCAGCAGCAGCAAATCAACAGTCCTGGTCAGTAACTTCACAGTAATAGAATTTACTGAGCAAGTTTTATAGAAACCCCCCCCCAAGGCTGAAAAGCCCATTACAATGTCTGGCCTCAGGTACGTTATAGAGCAGTCTTCCTTATGTTCCTTTGAGATACCATGGTCTTTATATTGCAGCCTGTGCCATCCCACCCTGGACTGGTGGCAGGGAGAACTGTAGTGAGTGGAAAAGGTTGTTGTTTCCAGCAGCGTCTGCATGCTTTGGGGTTGGTTTTCACCTCGGAGATGTTATGGAGGAGATTTTACAACAAAAACAATTCCTTCACCCAAGCGTTGGGTCTGTTTTATTCATTCCCTCTTTGTGCAGAAGACAGACCTCTTCATTAGCTGCTGTTTTCCACATGATTGCTTTTTTTACAGGGAACGGCATGTTTTGGCTGGAGTTGTGCGTTCCTGCTGCAGGGCTGGTTCCTCTTCCCAGGCTTGCTAGTGTGACCCATGTGGCAAGACCCTGGGGTCCCCACGCCCGAGGGCATGGGCACTGCAGGGACGGATGTCTGCAGCTCTGATGCAGGTGGGGAGAGGCCTCCCCAGTCCCAGCTCAGGAAGCTGGCCAGATCAGAGCGGAAGAAGTCCCCCCCTGGGGAGTCTACTTGGAAAACAGGAGCTTCTGGGGAGGCTGGGTCTGAGGTGGAGGGCTCAGTATTGTGGTAGGAGAGCTCCCAGGACTCTGCTGCTTCACAGGGCGCTGCTCCCTGCTACCCTTTGGCTGGGGAGCACTGACACATTCCTCTAGGGCTCCATAGTGGGAGCGGGGACCATCTCTTGACTCCCAAGTCCAGCTCTCCCCACTAATGTTCTTGCTACAGCCGCCAGCTGGCCCTGCATCTACCCTCAGACAGCTGAAACTCGATCTCTCCGCATAGGAGATCTGGTGTCGGAAAGCGCAAAGACTTGCCAGAGGTCGGGGAGTAAATAGCAGCAGCGCTTGGAGCACGCTCCACTACCCCATTCCCCCAACTACGTGTGACTCTACTTCAGGGAAAATAGGGCGAGGGATCCTCCGGCTGCCAAACTCTCGGGAAGTAAACAAGGAGGCCGCCGCCCCGCTGGAGGTGCCGGCGCCCGCTGTAGGCCGGACCTCAGCCGGCGGGGACCAGCGGCCGCGGGGCCTGAGGCGGTGAGGAGGCACGGAGGGAGCGCGGGGGTGGCCCGTGGCGGGGG